CTAAACAAGTACAGAGGGAGGTTGTTATGCCTTCGCCCTTCCTTGTAGATGTGCATTTCCCTGCACTGCTTGGTATTTCCAGATCCTGCACTACTCTCATTAGCCACAGCCTTTGATTAAAGAATTGAAAGTACCTTTTAAACCCCAGAGGCCAGTGAATCAGCACTGCTGCATCTGAATTCCACCAGTACAAGCAAGATCAGAACGTGAGCCCCAGGCTACAGCCCTGCTCAGATGTGGGGAACAAACCCAAACACGCCAGCCACCCTCTCACCCCAGCTTTACCATCCGTTTCTGCCCAAAACTCCACCTGCATTTACCCGGTGTTCCTTGCCGGGAGCAATGGCAGAGTTTGGTACTGTAGTTTGGCTTTGTAGCCAAAGTGAAGTTTTCCTAATTATCGCTCTTCTGAGCTAAAGAAACAAAAACTTGGAAGAAGGAATACGTGTAACTGCAGATGATGGGTGTTGCAGGTGGGAGCACAGCTGGATTAAAACTGAGGATTTTTGGAAACAGCCAACTTGGGTGGCGAGATGGCAGATGGGTGAACGCGAGCTGTTGCCAGGGAAGTGGGAGCATTCAGAGAACGAAGTCTCAGCAGTAGGTTAAATGACGGTTGCCGAAGAGCACGGAGACCTCGCGGCAAAGGGAAAGCAGGTAATGATAGTAGCTAAGGCAAGATAAAAAGTTGCTGTAGTAGGTGGATGAAGCTGATAAGGAATGGAGAGCGCAGCTCAGCTCACGTAACGGAGGGCTGAGGAGATGCAGAGGCAGCAACAGGGTGCGTAGGGTTGTGTTTCGGGGGGGTGGATTAAAGGGAGGGAGGGAGGGTATGGGAATTGGTTTCAAATCAGTCGCCTTGTCCCTGCTGGCACGCTCATCGGCTGATCGCCTCACTGTCGGTCTAGCATGGGCAGCCTACCCGTCCTGTGCCCTGCGCCATCCCCAGCAAGACAGAAAGACATCCTCTAGATGGACACCGTGGAGCGGGTGCACCACCAAATAATTCAGGGGGAGGAATCACTTTTGTACCCCAGCCAGCCCAAAGCAGGGCACGGCCAGACACACAAACAACCCCTGACTGCACAGTCCCATCTGCAATGACCCTTTCTGCGCAGCGCCTGCTGCGGTAGGTTTGGGAAAGGCGATGGCAGGAGATGCATGCCTGGAGAGATGCTTTGTAGCTGTTTGCACAGCCCGTACCCTGATCACAGCCGCTCTCCAAACCACTGATAAATTGCTGGTTGGCACAGGATGCTTGGGAGACCCCCGGGGAGGTAAAATTGTGGGTATAGACAGGTCCAGACATTGCAGGACACTCCCAGCACATCCTGTAGGAAGCAGACTGAATTCAGCTCTCCAAAAAACCCCGAAGGCAGGAGAGAGCAAGGGGAGCAGATGGTCTAAACCGTGTTTTCAACCTGTTCCATCCTGGGATCTTGCCTTGTATAGGCAGGGTGCTGCCAAACCCACCCAGCAAGGTGGGGAAGGCAGGAAGGTCTCACATACACCCTCCAACAAGCTGCCTGCCCGGCTGCGTGTGCTGATCTCCGGCACCAGAGCAGGCTCCAGTCGCTTTATAAACCAACTCACGCAGTGGGAAGAGCCGACCCGCGGCTCCTTCCACCCGCCCTCTTCCCTCCCTGCGCACCCTGCTGACCCTTCAGTCCCCAGGCACACACCGGTCATGAGCGCGATGCCAAAAATCTTCAGTTCTGCCCCCAGATCAGGAGGTTTTCAAAGAAAGGTTTTTACCAGCCCCCAAATCACAAGAGTGGGTCGCTTGGCCATTGCCAGTACCTCTCGTCATTTTTTTCTGGCATTTGGTGGTTTGGGTTTTTTTTTCTTTTTGGTGGCCTGTGTTTTCTTGCTGTCTGTTCTCTCCCCCTCTGCAGTCCTGTTTCCTCGTCCAGGCAGCCTCTCCCCTCTGCTCACTGGTAGGATCACATTACTCACAAAAAATCATACAGAATCAGAGAACCTCAGGTTAGAAGGGACCTCCAGGATCATCTGGTCCAACTTTTCTAGGCAAGAGCACAGTCTAGACAAGATGGCCCAGCACCCTGTCTGGCTGAGGCTTGAAAGTGTCCACATCCCTGGGGAGATTATTCCATGGGTGACTGTTCTCATAGGGCAAAATTTCCCTCTCATGTCCAGTGGGAATCTCCCCAAGAGCAACTTGTGTCCATGCCCCCTTGTCCTCTCCATGGGACTGCCTGTGACAAGGGAGTCTCCATCTTCCTTGTAGCCACCCCTTAGGTACTGGGACGTGGGGATGAGGTCACCTCAGAGCCTCCTTTGCTCCAGGCTGAACAAACCCAGCTCTCCCAGCCCATCCCCATATGGCTGAGAGAGGCTTCCCAGCCCTTGGATCCCCTTGGCCCTGCTCTGCACCTCCTCCAGCCTGTCCACATCTTTTTTGTACAGTGGGGACCAGAACTGTACACAGGATTCCAAGTGTGGCCTGGAAGAGATCCACCAGAATCTCCTGGTTGACCAGGATGCCACCAGCAAGGAGAGGCAGGAGCTGGCCACACCCGTGAGGCTCTGGCAAACAGCACCAAAACCCAAAAGCAGGTAGAATCATAGAATCATAGAATCATAGAATGTTTAGGGTTGGAAGGGACCACTAGTGGTCATCTAGTCCAACCCCCCTGCAGTGAGCAGGGACACTGCTAACTAGATCAGGTTGCTCACAGCCCCATCCAACCTGGCCTTGAATGTTCCCAGGGATGGGGCCTCCACTACCTCTCTGGGCAACCTGTTCCAGTGTTTTACCACCCTCATTGTAAAAAATTTCTTCCTTACCTCTAGCCTGAACCTACCCTGTTCTAGTTTAAAACCATTTCCCCTTGTCCCCATCTGAGGTGTAATTCAGCTCTGGAACTCCCAGCCTGGAGAAGCTGTCCATGCCGAAGCTCGTGCGGGCTCTAGAAGTCACTGGAGATTTCATGGAAGGATCCTGAGCTCCTGTCGTAGGACCAAAGGAGAATTAGGGCTGGAAGGGACCCCCAGGAGGGTGCTCAGGGCTTTATCCAGCTGGGTCTTCAAATCCTCGGAAGAAAATGATACAACCACCATGGCCAACCCGCTCCGACGCTTGGC